GGCAGGACTTGATAACAGGCTTCAGGCACAAATGGGGGGACGTTATAAGTAAAGAAAATGGTGATCAATTTTTCTTCCTGTCCAAAGAGGGCAAGACAAGGAGGAACGGGCTTGAATTGCAACACGTGAGATTTAAAGGGGGGTATTAGAAAGAACATTTTTCCCCATGGGGGGATGTTTGGGAACACGTTGCTTCCACTGCTGGAGGCTTCGAAGCTCAGGATGGACAAACATTTCTTTGGGATGGTTTTGTTAGGGATGAACCTGCCAGGAGCAAGGGGTTTGGCCCCGGTGACCTCCTGAGGTCCCTAGGATTTTAGCAGAACATTGCGGCAGCAGTTTTTTTTTTTTAAAAACCACCGCCTACCCCAGCAGTTTCCCCTTGCCAGGGCGACAAGCACAGTGCTGCTTTGCAAATTAAGAATGGCTCTGTCCCCAGCATGCCTTTGGAGGCAGTTTCAAGGCAGCAAGATCCAGCAGCCAGCGCCAATAAAATCCAGTGTCCCATAACATGCTAGCCTCCATTAAGAAGCCCACAGTGTGGGAGGGCCCTCAATAAAGACGTAACGTTGCTCACAGTTTCAAACTCATCCTACAATAAAACGAGTCTGGAAGGGAAGGGGTGATGCTCCCGGAGGGCATCGTCATTACGATAGCCGGCAGGGGGCCCTCCGTTTCATCCTTTTGCTAAACCCACGGCTCTGCCGACATCAGAAATGGAGCATCTCTCCGTTCGGAAAAGAATCCCAGTGCTATAACGCATTCCTCCAATGCCAGGTGTCCCATCAGCATGCAGTTCACACCCAAGAGAAACAAAATTTGACTTAAGCAAAGTCTCCTTCTCTGTGCATAGTGATTACTGGCAAGTGCTCCCAGCCGATCATAAAACTTGCAGTCACTTTAAATTCATACCAAGGGTTACGGTAGGAGCTAGCACAGAAATCTGACGTTATATTATTTATGAGCTGTAAGGCAGTGGCAAATTCCAATGCGGCTTAAGAACCCAGGCCTCCAACTGATTAAAAATTGACAAATACGCGATTACTTTTTTGCACTGTGATTTTTTTAGTTCGTAGGCTGTTGGAGGATGCTGTAGGCTGGACACAACGGATGGCGGGGTGGGGTAGAGAGCAGAGATGATTACACACATCCCGATGTACTGAATGATCTGATGGACACGGCACCAGCTGGCTTATGGGTTGCAGTTGCTAGGAACCTGTGGTCGAGAAAATGCCTCGACCAGGTGGGGTTTTGATGAAGGATTGTGCCAAAGTCCGGAAAGAATTAGGCACTCCACTTCCACTCCAAAAGAGGGAGGCCCAATAACAGTCAATAGGTTTGATGCTGAGCAGGCATCTGTGGGAGGAATAGGTGGGGTCCGGATACATCCGGGGACACCATTCTGCCGCACTCCGCGTACGGAGATAACACCCAGCCCCTCGGGACTCATAAAAGGGCAGTGAAGAGCAATATCTGCCTGTGAGTAGAGAGTAGGATGGCAAGCAGAGCAAAACACCCGTGGCAACATGAAGCCTAGTTCATAACTTCTCTGGACAGAATCAATCCTTATTTTTCCCTTTATTATTTTAATTTTTAATATATTACTCAGGTTTAAAAGCACAGATCTCTAGGCTGGGCATTTTCCAGCACTCAGAGGCTGCCTAGTTAACTCCTCGGGACAGCCGTGCTCGCCCTTACTGCATGGCAGTACTCTCCCTCCTTGTTTGCCATGGTTTAATTAGGTCCCCCGTCAGCTTGCATAAAGCCGAAACCTCAAGCAAGACAGAAATAAATGGAGAATGGACTCGGGCTGCAACTCCCGAGCCCCGAACTGCAGCCTGCCTTGAAGGAGGCAGCACCAGGAAGAATTCAGTTCACGTTGGCAATGAAAGCAGAGCCCACAGACTCCGGGACACGGAGGTTAAAGGAGTTGCTTTCCCGATGGGAGTTGTCATTGGAGATACTTATTAGCTCATCCCGTAGCTATTTTGCTTATGATGCTGCTTACGCCAATACTTAACAAGGGCAGGCTCTGCCAGTTTGTTAATGCAGGACAGTGTAGCAGGGTGATAGCGTGACCCCAGCACTAAGAGCAAGCAAAAGGTGCTGTGGAGGGTGAACTGCTGAGAAAGATGGGGAAAATACAGAACAAACTAGACTGGAACAGCACCGCATTTAGTTCAGCATCGCATCTCCAAAAATGGCCTTTATCAGCTGCTTACAAGAAATCCCCCTGCAAACAGGAGACAGCTGTCCAGCAGGGCAATGTCCTTCTGACCCCAGCAGACAGACTAGCATACGGCCTGTAACCCAGGGGTGGTCCTAGGTTTTCTTCGACTTCTGGTTGACGCTGCCCCTAACGGCCAGGGGAACTAACTCACAAGACCATGCCGTCTCTGTCCCTGGCCCTTCACATACCATACATGCACTGAAAAATGGGCACAGAGTGAACCTCGGTCAGGACACAGCACAGCTTTTAAACAGCGAACAAAGTCTCCCTAAATACAGTGGCAGATTTCAGCTGGCTTCGGCAGATTACTGGCTGCTGCTCTGAGTGTCCTGGACTGTTTTCTCTGATCATACAGACCTGGGAAAAGGAGTCAGAAAAGTTATGAAACCTTCCTGGTACCGAGCCTCGTGACTAGCCCAAAATATCAAGGCTGATTAATGAATGAGCAGAGGACGGGAAGAGGCAAGAGGGAACGTTATGCTGCTGCTCTTTTGTTTTGTGCGGGCTTTCCTTTTTTTGAGTAGGAGTAAACCCTAGCTCTAATGGGATCCGGCAGAAAGGTGAAGGCCTAAATGGACTGCAAAGTCCTAACTCATCTCTCAAATACGACGGTCCGGTATCCAGGTTGTAGCCATATTGGTCTAGAGGAAAAGGCAATCAGGATTCGTAGTAGAGATGATATTTTTTATTAGACCAATTATTAGATGATATCTAATAAAAGATATCATCTCTACTACGGGTCCTGATTGTCAAATAGACAGCGATGCTTAACCTTGGGACATTGTCCAGGCAGAAGTTACAGCAAGGGAGAAAAGTCTCTAATGCCAGTGCCTGCACAGTGACCAAATGCTTCAGTTTACTAGTAGGGTTTCTGAGTTCCTGAGTGCTTTCCCAGTCCAGGCCCTTCCTGGGGGCTATTACAGCTCCCTTGCCCTGTAGGCCTGTCAAATTCAGCTCCAAACTCTCCCAAGCAGCATGTTATGCTATGCTAAATTAGGCATCCTGTGGCACAAGCCATCCCAGCTCCTTTCTTGAGAAGATGCGGCAGATAACAATTAACTAGGGATGCTATTAAGGCTGCACTGTCCTTCTTGACAACCACCCCAATGGGAAAAGTTTGTAGCACAGGGGGAAAACAAACCCGGCAAGTGCAAAGACTGGCAGCTAACCAGAAATCATTTCGGTCTCGACAGTTGCTTGAGAACGAGTGCTGATTTATAGGTGCCGCTTACTCCTACCCACTTGAATACTTCCAGTGTACGAAAGGCTCGGTTTTTAATTTTGTTTAAAGTACCTGAGCTATCTGAAGTACCAGAACCTCCCATGGGAAAGGGAGCGCGGTTCTCCTGGATACCGTCGCTATGGAAACTATTGCTACAGAATCCACATGTACAACAAATCGGTTCCATTTCATCTCCAGCTCGCCGGGAAGCAAAGTTGCACAGAGAGAGACGTCACAAAATAAGGGGGCAGCAGTTCTTCTGAGAATATAATCCGCAGATAGCGATGCCAGAGGGCTTTCTTTAAAAGAAATTTATTTAATCTGAATGCTTTCAGGATGGCCGAAGGGTTGTGGATTGACGGGTACAGAGTGGCGTCCTCCGTGGATTCGGCAACAGGTGGGACACAAGTGCAAACTTCCCCCCACGTGCCCAGGGCTAGCGAGCGAAGACAAAGTGCAAAGAGATGCACAGAAAAGAAGACTCCTCGCTCGGCTTGGGGACAATCCAAGACATTTTTCTTTCTCCAACTTTGCTCAGGACATGGGTAGGGCAGCAGTAGAGGATCAGGGCAGCTCAGTGCCCACGGCTCATTTAGCCTTTGGCTAAGTCAGTAAGGATTTGGGGGATGATGCTGAATGAACATCATTTCACCTGTGACTGCGATTTCTAGTCCCCTCTGGCTGGGTCTGACCTGCAGCCCAGGAGCTAGGGGTGAAAGGCTGCATACCCTCCATTAGGAAACTGCTTGAAATCAAAGAGGAAGGTCTCGGAGGCAGTGAAGTTGAGTTACAGCAGGACAAGTATCTCGAGGGAAGCAACCCATAGGTCTTTAACTACTTCCAAACTGCTGTCGAATGGAGTCCTCTCCAAAACACAGACTTACTTTCCAATTAAAGATGCTTCCATTGTGGTAGCTCTGTCATTAGTTTATAGTAAATACTTAAATAGGGAACTACGTCCTCGGACTCAGTTTACTCATTCGCTTGTAGAGAGACATTGCGCCCACCATAGTAACACTGGTTGCCCAAATTCTCTCCGTCTTGCCTTCGTCTCGGTCTTTCTCACATTTACCTACTAGCAGAGAATTGGCGTGCACGATACCGGGCAGATACAAGGAACAAAAATACCCTCCAAAGGAAATGATGTGCTCTTGTGACCCACGTGAAGGTAGATGCACTGCAAAAAAATTTCCATCACCAGCCCTACGTGAACAACACTTATGCAGAATACTTGATGCAGTTGCCACGTTTGGTGTCATTCATTGCTCTTGTAAAAGCCTCTCTCCCCGAGACAGCTCTGAACAGCGAAAAGCCACAGGTTCCTACTGATGTGGCAAAGACTCTAAGAGTTGTCTGCAAAGACAAAAAAGTCACATTACTCCTTAAAACAAGAAGCATTTCTGAAGGTTTTCACCATAAATGCCCGGCCGTGAAAAGGATTTGTATCAGCTGAATATTAACAAGCAATGCATAAAAAGGCATCATAGCTGCAGGGGACTTAAAACTACTCAGCCAGACAAGGGAGTAGTCCTTGATATGGAGCAGTGGTGTGATACCATGCTGCTATCTGCACGTATGTTGTTTTGCTGTTTATTTTTTATCTTTTAGTTAAGCCTCCTCTAACGCTCGCAGCTACAACGAGCCCAGGGGGTCTGTGCATTTTTACAGCACTTTATTCTTCAGAACGCATGTTTATGGCGCGAAGCAGCTGCTCCTGGGAAATCTGAAGGGACTGGAAGCTCACGATGTCTGTGGCGCCATGGTTCAACAGATGAGTGGTCACAGGGTGTGTTTTAACACTGGCAGAATCAAAGACACAGAGCGATGCTTCCAGATTAAAGACTTGCAAGAGAGAGCATGCGGGGATCAGCGGGACTTCAGAAACAGCCCTGACATGTTATACAACCTGTGCTCGAAGCCCCTACACTCCTCCTTCCCTGTAGTAAGACAGTGGTGTCGACATACTAATGCAATAAGAGAGAGGACCTAGGTAACTGCACTATTAAATACGTGCCACTTGAATTCAAACGTCAGTGAATTCATACTTGATGACTGCAGCGCTAAAGAAAGCCGGGGCCGTCTGGGTGACCGAGAAAAGCATTTGCAAGAGAAGCTCTTGAGGACGGTAGGCCACGTATAAGGAGGTAGCTTGATATGCCCGCATGCTTGCTTGACCCTTCAAGATGCTCTCCTGTTCTGTCCTTGGGAATGGGCAAGGGCATTTCAACCGCTGAATGTCCCCAACAGCTCCCTTCCTCTTAAAGTTACCTAATTAATTCCAATCCCTTGTTTGCTCACCATATCACAGTAGACAAACTCAAGCAGAAGGAATACAAAGCAAGGAGATGCTTATGTTGTATATGAAACCAAGTGGCCACCAGCAAACAGGTATAGCCTTGCTGGTGCATCCAAGTTGGGTACATGCAACATATATCTGAGAACAAGAGCGGGATCAGGGGAAAGTATTTGAGTGGGACAGAGAGAATGGGAAGGGGCTTGCTAGCAGAGCAGCCTGCAAGAACAGATTTCACAGGAAGTTTGTTTCCACTTCGCAGGGTTCAGAATTTGCCCCATTTCCCACCACTTTTTCAATACTGTTTTAAAACAGAATCACCGAAAACAAGAGTTTCTAAAACGTTTTGCTCCCCCAAAACCCAGGGTACAGCGAGAAAATTGCAGTCTGAGCAATGAAAACGGTGCCAAAAAATTGGTTAAAAGACTGTGGAAAAAACTATAAAACGGGAAACATCAACAGTGACGAGCTTCTGCAAAGAGTTACTGCTTCTTTTTTTTTTTTTTAATTAAAGAAGCCATTTTTTTTACCATATTTGTGGGTGAGAAATCTTGATCAGCTCTAGTGGTTTCTTTTGGTGAGATGCTTTCAAGAAAGAATCCTGTTTAATTCTTTCTGTTAACCATTTGGTTCTGGTGCCTGTGTGGGACTTTTGACATTTTTTTTTTTTTGGCTGGATACCAGGTCAACCTGCCATATGAATGAATGGGGATGGACCTGGTGCCTGTCTGTGGCTCCGCAGACACGAGGTCAATCTGCCATAGAAATGCACGGGTTGACCTGGTGCACGGGTGGGATTCAGAAAAGTTTCCGCTGGACACCACAGGAATGAATGGGGGTTGACCCGGTGTCCAGCCATGGCTCCCTGGATACCAGGTGAACCCTCGATAGAAATGCATGGGTTGACCTGGTGCATGGGTTTGGCTGGATGCATATTAACAGGCTGCTGCCACTGGGAACAGAGCAGAAATTTTAGGGTGGGGTGATGGGAAGAAATCAGATGGTGGGTTTTTTTTAATTAAAGTATGCTTTATGTCTGGTTCAATTCTGGACCGTCGGCCACTTTGGAAAGACACCCTCTCTATGCTAAAGAAATCAGCAACCTAGGAAAACATATATTTGTTTATGACTCTGAATACCTGCCTGATATAACATATATTTATGTAAGGCAGGTGTTCATTTCAGATTCAGAAACATGAAGCCCATTGACCATATGGGGCTGTGCAAGAAACACCTGGACTAGCTCGATACTGTGCGTGCCGTTGCTGTGGAAGAAGCAGTGTGTGCAGAACACACACTGAACTGCCTGACTGCAGTCTGCCACCTGGTCCCTTGCAATGCTGCAAACATGCCTTACCTCTCTCATATCCACCCACAAACACACGCACACAATGCCTCTCCCTCTCCCCCAGCGCTGACTTTTCAAACACATCCTGCTG